CCCGGGAGCCAGGCCTGTCACCGCAGATTAATGGTCTCCCCGACACCCCCGCCCCGCCGGTCCAGTGCCCAGCCAGCCAGAGTCAGACAGACACCCAGAGACGGAGAGACCGCCTGGTGACAGGCAAAGCCAGGAACACACGCGCATGCTGCCACATACAGACCACGCAGAGACCACACCACGACAGGCACTCGCTGTGGGCCCGGGAGCAGGGCAGACACCCGGGCTCCAGGTGGGAAGAGAGGCAGAGGCGGGAGCGGGAGAGGGGTAGGCGGCCAGATATGGGGCCTGGGGTGAGGGGGAACATTCTGGAGTCAAGGCCAAGGGGCTGGAGACCTGGCAGGAGCCCAGAGAGCCAGAGGCAGCGGGAGCAGGGCCAGGAGGAGGGCCGAGGAGGCTGGCAGCGACAACAGCAAGCGAAACGGGGCAGCTCCCTCACTCGGGCCAACTCAGGGAGCTGCTGTGGAAGGGGCAGGAGGGAGCCACAGACTGAGGCTCAGCAGGTGTGGGACGGTGGCCCCCACTGTCCCGGGCTCCTCACCTACTGCAGGGATCCCCACTCCTGACCCTCTCCTCCGACCCCACCCCCCAAGGCCAGGAAGGAGTTGGAATGGACTGGGCCGTAGGGTTGGTGCCAGCAATCTTGCTGCCAAGAGGGGCCAGGAGACCAGGCTGGTCGTGCCACCAGACAGTGTCGGGCAATGCCCCCCAAAGGCTGGCGGTCTTCTCTGGCCCAGGATTTAGGGACCTCGTCCCTCTGTATCTGTGCACCGACCATCATACACTCCCCTCCCGACTTGGGAAGGAAACTCCCCTGTCCCGTGGTTTGGGGACGGATGGGCACCTCCAAGCCATTCTGGCCCTAGCACAGGATCCCTACCCTAGCTTATCACATTGGCCTAGAAGAATTGGGGACCTTGACTTTGACCTCCATGGCCCCTTCTAATTTGAATTCTCCCATAGGTCTGCCCCTACCCTGCCCCATACCTTCTTCACCACACCCTGTGAGCAGACCCCATCACGCCCCTGTGACTGCCTTCTCCGGCCCACCCTGCCTCAACTGCCCTGTCCTCCCTGTGCACCATCAACCTGTTCTCTGTATCTGTCCTGTCCCAGGTTCCCTGCCCTTCCTCTCTTTTCTTCCCCTCCCCTCCCCTGCAGTCTCCCTTTCTCAGGACCTCTCAGATTTGTTCTCTCTCACCCCAGCTCTGGAACCCCTCCCACCCCCACCTCCAGCCAGTGGGTCTGCCCACCCTCAAGAGGCCCTTACTGACTGGACCCCTCCACCACCCACCTTGGGCCACAGCCCACTCCCACCACCTCTAAGCTCCTCCAAGGTGAGAGGAGAGCCAGGGAGCCAAGCACCGACCTGGGTGACCTTCTCAGTGACATTGTGGGTCCGCTCCTTTATCTTCGGTGCTATGATCTCCCGGTCACTGGTGGGCGAAGCCAGGAAAGGGTCCCCCTTGAGGTCCACAAAGTTGAGGGTGATTTGGGGAATCTTGCTGATGGTACGGTAGCGCACGAGGTCGGAATCTGACGTGGAGTTGAGCAGGCCGCCGCGCAGCGGGTGCATGGCCCCTGAAGTGGAGGGGAAAGTCACATCAGGGGGCAGGCGGGGGAAGGGGGGTGTTGCACGGCCCAGGGGGTGGAGGGCAAAGCTGGGTCCGGGGGGCAGGCTGAGGAGGAGACCAGGCTCTTTGTGAGCTAGGCCACGGGATACCGTGAGTCAATGAGGTCAACTCAGGAGACAGGCAGTCACTGAGAAACAAGGCCAGAGTCCTGGCCACGGGGAGGAAGCGTGCCACCGCACAGCCAGGATATGACGGAGGAAGAAGATCCTCCATAGGGTCTGTTCAGCGGGCACTGGGCACCGGCCAGAGGGCCAGGTGGTGGCCGGGACCCAGAGGCCTCTCCTGCCCTCCACACTCCCCAAGGCCATCCCTGCTCCGGGCCGTCCTGGGAGAGGGAGCTCCATGAGCCAGCAAAGGCTCTGTGAGTGGAAGAATGTAATGGGATGAATGGACATTTAATGGAGTAAAAGGCCACTTAATGGGATTAAGTAAGTGCTTAATGGGATTCCCATCTCCCAGGCACACAGGCCGGGGCCGAGAGGGGGGCAGCGGAGGGCCCCGAATGGGGCGGGCCTGGCGGGCGGGGAAGCGTCGGGGCAGGTCCCGCAGGTCCCGCAGGGCTCACCGGTGCTGGCGTGGCGTGGGGGCGGCGGCAGC